AAATTTTTTTTTATAAAATATAAAAATTAAATTTATTAAAATATAATCTATAATTATAGTTGATATTTAAAAAAAAATTTTTTAAAATAACTTAATTTTTGATAAAAATAAATCAGAACCAATTTTTAAAAACTTCTTAAAATTTTAGCAGGCATATTTGCCTGCTAAAATGGACGGTTTAAAGGATAAACAAAATTTGGCCAACTTTAATGTTTTCTTGAACCCTTCTTTTTACTCTTCACAACACATGCTTTCACAAACGCAAATCCCCATGCCAAACCCTACCGAAGAGGCTCTCATGAAGTTGACTAAAGCTGTCAACAGTATGATGGGTCAGTTAAAGGAGCTCCAAAGAGAAACTGGAATAACTAGAACAATGCGCTGCGAGGACTCTGTCCCTGTTGTGGACAAAATGAATATTTTGCTAGGACTTGTTCAAATCCCTTGAGAAGAGAAGCCAATCAAGTTAATCCCCCTAACCAAGCCAACAATCAAAACCCTAATCAAAATAACAACCGCAATCCCCAACAGGCAAATAATAATGTGGAAGCTGCTATGCAAACTCTGTTAAACTTAATTAATCCAAACTAGCAGGAAAATAAGGCTCAGGCCTTCTTAAATCTTCATAAAGAACTTCCTTTGTATGCAGTAGGAGAAGAGCTAGTAAAACCTATCCATATGACTAGGCTCAAGCACCGGCATACTTAGAAAGATTTGGAACAAGAAGCTGTGCCACCCGAAACTGTTGAAAACAAAACAGTTGAATCGATAAAGAATAAAAAGGATGATACCAAACCGGTAGTCGTCTAGAGAAAAATAACTGAGAATGAGCCTCCACAAATTTCAGCTCTCGTTTCCTCCTATTCAATTGTTGCTAATGTTCAGGATAAACTGGCTAATATTATCATAGGACAATTGCTAAGGGCGGTCTCTTCAATGTGTACTGAATTGTCAAAGAGTCTTCAAAAAAAGAAGTTGACAAAAAGAAAAAGTTGTGCATTCGTTAATCTTCAGCTAACTCCTAAAGCCACAGCCCTTTATGACAGATCCAGGATGTAGGTGAGATTTTCCAGGTCACATGATCAATCGATCTCCGGTCTAGATCGGGATCACTTGATTTTCTGTTTCACAGATCAAAATAAAAAAATAAATAGATGTACAGCACATATACAGATTTTTTTTTTTTACTTTTTTTTTTTTTTTTTTTTAATATCACCATTCATCCCTTTTTTTTTTAACTTTTTTTAACATTGCTGTTCGTCCCTTTTTTTTTTCTTTTTAACGTCGCCGTTCGTCGTTGATGTTGTCGCTATTGTATCGTTTTGTCGTCAGTTTGGTGTTCACTTGTAGGTAAGATGCAGTCGTCGTTTCATTAGTG